TATAATTAATAGCTTTTATTTTAATCATTTTATTTTACTCATATATACGACTATATACGCATTATATGTAATGATTTTAAACAACTACGTAACAGGATGTTAAAAATATAATAAAAATAGAAAGTTTTTTTCTCATAACAAAACTTTTCATTTTTTAAATAATCTATGTAAATGTTTAACATACGTACGCGTTCACGATAATAAAAAAATAATTTTTAAATATAAGATATTAAAATTTCATATTCTTTAACATTCTTATTAATTTGTAAGTTTCACATTTTATATATAAATAGTTAGCACAGTATACTGTACATTATATTACATTTAATAGTTAATATACAATCTCAACTACACACATTAGACAAATATTATTTTGCCAATATTATAATACAAGTTTCGATTTCTCCATCGTGGCCGACGACAAGAGAATGATTCGCGTCTGCCACCAAGAAGTGTGTATTGCCTTTAATTAAGGAAAAATGTAATATGGACGAGAAACTAGACGAGGTTACGACGGCTCCCCCTCCCCCTCTTCTTGAGCCGCAGGGGTCGGTCGTTCTCGCGACCACGGAGGGTGGAACAAAGGAAGTTATCGCCGCGGAATTTTTATGTCGACGAGAGAAAGAAATGTAAATCAGGTCCTGGCGCTCTCATTCTCCGCCGTCGTGGCCCAAGAAAGGATAAGGGAAAACCAAAGAATATAAAAACGTCGTCATCTTGTCAAAATATCTCTCGAAACGCGCTCACCAAAATCAATACAAAAAACCTATACACTCGTATGCTTATGTATTTAAAGAAATATCAATATTAGTCACAGAACTTGATAGAGACGTAGAAGTGTATTGTCTATTCATATTCGCAAAAAGTTGCCAAAAGATATATAAACGCCAATTTTTTAACAGTTATCATCCTCGTTATACTTTCTCTATAAATACTTTCTCTATAAGATTATACTTAACATAAATATATCTACAATGTAGAATACTGTGGGATTTATATAGCTCGATCCTATCAACGCATTAAAAGCAAGCACGGCCGAACTGACAATCAGTCATTCAGTCGTATAACGAATGAACGTTGAGAAGACGAGAGGAGATAGAATCGAAATGTAATTAAGAGAGTAAATAATCCGTGCCGAACAAACTCTGTAAAATGGATCAAAGAACTCGCGAGAGCGAGAACGAGAACGAGCGTGATAGTCGAAGAGGGAACGGTAGAGCTTCGGCAAAAGGTATCGGAGTGAACTACGTGGAACCGTGTCTCGTTCTGTCATCGTTCTATCTAGCTCGAAGCAGGGCAACGAGGGAGGAGTACAGCCCCGTCGGAGACCCTCGATAAATATTTCCGTCAAGTGACCGGGGTTGGAATTCAAAGAGAGTCGAAAGGTGGAATCGAGAACGGGACGACTTCGAGCTGCCGTCAGGGATGAGGAACGTTCGAAAAAGGAAAGGCGAGCCCGAGGCCAGTATATTTGCGTTACGTTACATAGTTGCGCGTTTAATCAGCCATATACCCGAAAGGAACTGAAGGAAAAAGACTACAAGAGATAAGAAGAGGGGCGTGTATCCCGTGTATCGAGAAAAGAAAGCAGATGTCAGTGTTGTGTCTTCAGAGACATTCAAAAGAACTCTTTATTGGACAACTTTATCTAACAATTCGTTTACATATTTGTTTAAATTTTCTACAAATCGTAAGTCACAGTAAAATATGAGAAGAATATTCAACTAAATATAAAACACGAGGTATTATTCAATTAAATTATTAGATATAATAATATCTTTGTTAAATATTAATTAAAATTATTAAAAATAATAATTCAGTTGGCTATTAATACTTATTAAAATACCGAGAACAATACTTGTTTTTCCAAATATTGTGATAAACGAACAGAATTACTCGTATTATTCGTACTCATATGTTTTTAGTTGCAAAGGGGAGGAGTGAAGAAGACTGGAGCTGTGGTACGTCGATGGTGTGACAGATTGCCTCCCAGTATTTTCCACCACATACATCATCGCTAGACCTTAACTACATCCCGGTGCTCACAATCTCGCCGTCCTCCTTAATTGGCGTTGCCTACGTACGTCGTCTCGCCGACACCGAAGATCCCTCGACTCGTTAATACGCACACCGAAAATGTTCTTACTCGATAAGCAATCACGTCGAAAAGCCGAGCTCTCTAAATTAATGTACGACTCGCTGATGCGAGGCGCGGTAATACATTGATAATAGAACGAAGGGTCGGTGACAAACTACCGACCGCACTTTCATCGTCAGGGATGCGATTAGGGAAAAATTCGTCCTGTTTTAATGGGGAGCGAAAATTAAATACCGCGGTGTGTGTCCACCCCTTAAGTCCGGCCACCTAATAATTCATATGAGGAATGTAAAAAGGGCAGCGCAGACCCCTTTTCCACAAAAAG